ATCAATTTAAAATTTGTTTCATGTTACGTGTTGTTGAAAAAATAAATAAATGGGAATTGATTTTTAGTTGTATTAGCAAGAAAAGGCTCCAAAAAATAATTTAATTTGCTAACACAACAAATTGTTTATTTACCAAACAAAACGGCAATAAACAATTTTAAAATTTTTTTGACTTAAAATAATTTTCTGATGTATGCTTGTAAATATGTTCCTGGATTCAAATTCTTTGAGTTTTTCCAATACTTTTTATAATGAGAACGGTAGGATATTTATTTCACATTATAAGGTAAAGAATTAATAAGGCCCTGAAGTCCTTTTATTATTTACTTAATACAATAGTTTCTGAACTTAGGCGTTTTATGGTGTAAAATTACATAATGCGTAATGTTTAAGTAAGTCATATATGCCATATCGTTAATCACACTATTCATTATAAAGTTTGGCGCCCGTTTTCATTTACAAATCCCAAAATCCAACGTTTTATTTTATTTTATTTTTTTAGCAAAGCACAGTTTTAATGACAAAATTTGATTGAACATGTCAATGTATGTAATAATGTAATCTTAGAACTAATGTAGTCTTACCGTTTCCACAGTTAAATATTTTTTTTTAAACTGCTAGAGAAGTTGATGTGTTGTTAGTAACTTTATCCAAGGCTTAGGAAGAATAAAGTAGGAAGAAGAACATTCGGAGCTTACTAAATACTTACTCCATATGCAGTAATTGCTAACTTAATTTGTTACGGAAAGCATTAAGTAATCCAACCAATGTTGTGCCTAAAGTCAGAGGCTCATGAATAACTTCTAGTCCCCTAGTGCTAAGCGCCTTGTTCCCCTCCGCTAGCTCACTACTAATGCACATCAGCTCAACTTTAAGCTCAGTTGCTATGTGTATAGTTAGTATTAGAGGTCAGTAAGTCATTCTCATGTATATATAATATTATTGCTTTTGTTCAATTTATATAAATAATTAAATTTTTTGTTTTCAGATCCACAACTATATTTTATTGTCAGCAAATTTGTATTTATTTATGTTTTATATATTGATTTGTGCTTTGAATAAACGATGGATAAAGTTAAATCTCTCCGGTAATAGTAATGATGTTTTTACATATGTTTTAATTACTTTGAAACAGAATTTAATAACTTTTAGAATGATGAGTTGCAATATATTAATACTATTTAAAACCGACTGATTTGTTCAAAATAGTCGAAAATGATCTCTAGCTAATCGAATTTCTACTTTATTAAGATTAATTGTTGGATTTCGGGAATATTCAAAAACCGCCATCGCGTTTATTAACTTATCGGATATCTTCGGTATATGGATCTCTTACTATATTATCAGAAGCTCTATTACCATTATTAAAATACTGATGATTTTAAGATTGCACGTTCAGGTATTTTATGTTAATCCAATGGTGAACCCGATTACTGATGGATCCTCATATATAAATAAATCGAAACGTGGCCTTGCTATCTCAAAATCGGTAATAATTTCAAAATCTAGGACATAGGAAAGTTAAATATAATTAAGGAATAATTTATCATTTAATACATTTATTTTTATTAAACTTAGATTTTTATAGTCACATATCAATTTATTTTTCTACGGATAATCAATAGTTTAATTATTATATATTCGAATAAAATTTTACTAACTGTGGAGTGCATCACTTTACCTCCAACGCCCACTTAAGATTTGCTTGAAGGTTAAAAGCTCCTACACACAAAGTACGATATCTATCGGCAATAATCGAAGATATTTCTGTGGCAGCGATATTGCGAAGTAGTTGTCTACTAAAATCCACAGCGATACCGAAGAAGGGGTATCGTATCGCGTTCTATCTGTAGGAGCTTTAAGTGATTGGCCCCTAAACGCAGCACTGGGTGGAAAGAAGAAGTATTTATCTTATTTATAAAGAATATTGACAAATTACTGGAACCGCCTTGCACATTATTCTATTTTTTATCAAAAAACGATATTCAAACTATATAATCAAAACACAATGTTTATAATTTGGTTTGAGGTAAATTCTTAAGGTACATTTGGTTCTGGATGAAATTTAATATAAGTTTTATATTGTTTTAAAGATTTTTTTTTTCCTCTTGCGGTCCAATATAATTTTGCTCTCCTAGCATAACGGCTGTCCATTTCACTAAAGGAACACCTTATGACTTGTAACGCAGAGCATGTATCATGATGTTCTTCTGTCATATTTTTAAAGATTTGTTAATCAGATTTGTTAAATCTGTTAAACATCCACAGAACTTATGCGAATTTGATGCATTTTAAATAGTTCAGTGTATAAAAAGAAGATTTGATTTTTGGAAGTTATCTCAGACAGACAGACTGGAAGACATGCTAAGTAAGTAAGCTAATCATTAAGTAAATAGTGTTGCATTTCAATGTCACCATAAAGTATTTATAAGTCCATTAAAACTGTAATAAAACTCACTGATTGCAGTTCGATCTTATAAGAAAGGTGTATTAATCCTCTTCTGGAATAAAAACTCGGGTATGGGAATGTCACCTAGATAGTAGAGTAGCTTGCAATGCTCTAGATCCCAGTTTCGAATCCCGGCTCATGCAGACAAATTATTTATTTTGTCTCATTGACCGTGGGACAATCCTTCTGGGGAACACCCACCCTCGATAAAGTGAGTACCTTAATGAAATAATTGTTTAAGGAGGAAACTATGGCGGTTGAGTCCGATTACACAGCGGGAATAGAATAATATTTAATGTGAATGATCAGATGCATCAAATTATTTATTTTTAATAATTAGGTTCAAACGGATCTGTATACGTATAGGGCGCTATTTTATTTCCTTAAGTAATAGATTTTCTATAAAAATAGTGACATGACAATGACAAATATTTTTATAGAAAATCGATTACTTAAGGAAATAAAATAGCGCCCTATACGTATACAGATCCGTTTGAACCTAATTATTAAAAATAAATAATTTGATGCGTCTGATCATTCACACTAAATATTATTCTATTCCCGCTGTGTAATCACGCTCAACCGCCATAGTTTCCTCCTTAAACAATTATTTCATTAAGGGTACTCACTAATGTAATCTTGGAAGATTTATAAACCATTATAAATCCATATAATCTCTTAGTGACTAAAAATAAATACATTATTAAAAGGATGAGCTAGCTTATTAATTTCTATAGATTTCTTCACTTACATTTTCACTCTGAAGTAGTGATTTAGAATTAATTTTGTATTAAATTGAATGTTAACATATTTTTTTTTTATATTTAATACTTTTATCACGATTTTATTATTTATAAAATGTGTCAGTGCCAGTAACCTCATCTCTGACATAAGCAATAGTAATTTTGGAAAAAAATATAGTTAGAGTTCATATCGAATCTCCTGATTTACTCTCTGACTGCCAGGTACTCGTTTTATAGTAGATTGGTTTTTATTAGCATATGACCAAACCACTATCTCTTCCTTTACCAGCCCACTATTGTTCTGTTTAAAGACAATTTAAAATTTAAAAAAATCAGTCTGAGAACTTTTTAGTGAAAAAAAAATCACTATGTTTATCATTTTTGCTCAAAGCTAATGTAATAATTAGAAAAAAAAATGCATCATCTTGATGAAATGAGCGCCATAGTTCATAATTCAATTGCACGAAAAACAAATTAAGTCCTTTTGCTTCTTTCACAGCTTTAATTGCCTTCGAAGTAATTAGCTTTACTCAAAGAATTCTCTTCATAATGCAATTGTTCCTTTAGACCGAGCTTAGTAAGTTCTAGGTACAAGTTCTATTTGTGTGTACTTAAGCAGAGGTGACCATCCCTTCTGACGGTGTATGACCCTCTTCCCTCCAGAATTTTAATTGTTCTCCTCTTTTGAAAAATAGTACTAACGAAAGTTAAATTAAAGAAATTTCAGACCATATATAACTACACTTGCTGTAATCTGCCTTATGTTTTTCTCATTGCTCCCTAATTGAAAGTTTACCCCAGAATTTAAATCTCACAAAAATATGGTTTCTTTCGAAAATTTACAATCCCATTTTAAACATGTCTTCTCTCCCCCCCTCCCTAAAATTCGAAAAATCGTGAAAATATGCCTCCCTCAAAAACCTTGACAGCGCAGCTTGTGCCATGAACCCTCTTCTAGACACCCCTGTAATGAAGTGACTTATGTAATACCAAATAATCAATAACATTGAAAACTCACAAGTACACGTAAGCAAGGGAACAAGCTTCATATTTTTACTATCCAATTAGTTTACTATTTGAATTCCAGGGGTCTCCAAACTACGGTTAGCAAACGCCTCCGGTCCGTGAAAGTTTTTTGATTACATAGTAAAACATTAAACTATTTAAAAGATATGAAATTTAGTAAATCACTCAAACACGAGGTTAATATTTATTGCATGAGTTGTTCCTCTTAGAAAGCTCATTGCACAGCTCAAGTGTCGTTTATAGAAGAAGACATGTTTTTTCATCGCAAGCTATGGCCAACGGGACTTAACAAGGATGTCTCAATATGGCCTGCGTGCGAAAAAGTTTGGAAATATTTACCCCAGATTAAAAACTACACTACATTACTTTCTCAGTGGAAGAAATTAAAAAAAAAAAAAAAGAAAATTTGGAAAAAAGAAATGACTGACATTTTGTGGCGTTTGACTGTTAAGATTTCTTTAAGAGAGATTTTTTATATATTTGGCAACATTTAATGAAATTTGTTTCCCCTCTCTGATGATACTTAAATTTGACTTCCTATTAAGGAAACTAGAAAATTATGCTTTGAAAATATAAAATAAAATACTTAATTTGCTTATTTTAAAATGCGTATTCAGAAGGATCATGTACTTTACTTTATACTTTTATAAGATTTTATGGTAAGCCTACAGAGACGAACCGACTCGGAGTTCTAAAAAATTATCCGAGACATTAAGTAAACTACAATTGCGCCAACTAATAGTGTCATTAAATTTGCATATTGAAATTAGTACTGATCTTACCTTCTTGCCTTCCTTGCCCTTGGGGAAGTCTTCATCACTTTGTGGAGGAGGAGTAACGGCATCGTTGGTGTTGATGATGGGAACGATGTTGAGGCTAATCAGTTCGGAAAGGGTACTTATCAAGTTGCGCCTGGTTTCGTCGTTGTAGAAGTCAGGCTTAGTTACCAACACCTGGAATAATACGTTAATCATGATAATATGAGTAATAATGATTGAAATAGGTTTATTGTAACATAAAAATAAAGATGGTAATCCAAAAATAATAGTATTTTTGGGCAAGTAAAAGGAGTTATTTTTGGGTATTTAGTTTTAGTTCATTATTTATTAAAACAAATGTTTGTTAGTAGTTATATTTTTAAAAATTGAATGCAGTCGTGATATTTACAACTATATAAATATAAAAATACATCTAGTAAATGTGCACACAGGAATAACATAATCACTTGAAAACGCTTGTTGATAAACTATCCATTGGTATCACTCTAATAATATATTTACATAAGTAGATCACGAGGCCATATTCTTTTAATTGAACTTCTAAAAAATATTAATAATTTATTTTGTTAATATATAACAATATGAATTATAATAAAATTAAATAGAGGTAAAACCTATGATAACTTTCAACTCATTTGTAACTTTTTGTTTTCCTTTGTTGGCCCAAGACTTTTATTGAAGTCCTCTACTGCTCATTTATTCTTACGTTTAATATAAGAAACTTATCATGATCGAAAAGAATACTGTAATACCCTAATATTTGTTTTTAAATAAATTTCTTTGAGGTACCGAAGGTATAAAAAATTAGTTTTAATCTCAAATGGTTAGCAATTTATAATTAATTATAGGATTAATTATGCACTGCTTCGAGGATGAATCGTATATCTATTGAGAAAAATCATGGGTATTATTTTGTAAAATTTTTTTATTTATTTCTTAATGATATTTACAACTGTATAAAAGAAATACATTTAGTAAATTTGAACATATGGATATACTGCCGCAAAAACACTTGTTGACGTGAGACACTGGGCCATCACTTATCGAAGAGAAAGCAATGCTTGAAATGAGAGGATTCTGAAGTTTGTAATGGAAAGGTTTGGATCTGGATTGAGCTAAATCGGAAACATATGGTACATTAAGGTCGTTATGGATGATCTTATTTGTGATAGAGTAAGGAGCATTGAGAATTTTACGAAGGATTTTGGATTGTAAGGACTAGTGTTGATCAAAATTTTATGGAAATAAAATTAAGGCAGAATAGTTACTAATACTTGACAATCTTAGTTACTATATGTTAGTAGTTGGTATAACAATATACTTTTGCATTTAACTGCTCTAATTTTTCATTCGGGCTTAGTTAGGTTTCTCCTACCTAAAAAATACAGTGTTATCTCTATAGTAATAAGCTAATAAGCAACTGCAAGACTGTTGCGAGACTCTTGCGCAATACCAAGACCATGACCAAGACTTAGTTTGCAATACCAAGACTCCTCTCGGTCTCCCATTTGGGCAACACTAGTAAGGACTGAATAAAAGAGGAATTCTATGGTTTAGCGTAGTCCCAAAGCTCAATTCCGTAAGTCCAAATAGGCCTAATTTTAATCAGGTATATGAGTCTTTCGTAATACATTGAAAATTAAGAGCGTTTGTCTAGTAGGTGCTGGAGTAGTCGAAAAAATCGAGCAGTTTCTTGTCATTTTAGTCTGCTATGAGAATTCCAAGTGAAATACTATATTAGATTAGGCACTACAATCAATTCTTTGTTAATTTAATAGTTATTTTACGCTTCCATCAAATTATATTTGAAGATCTTAGAAACTAAAATCTTAAGGAAATTTACGAAGAATCATATTGTCATTTTTGTAGAGAAAACGATACAACTAATAATACTGAAAACAAAACTGAATAACCTCTCCGGCTTGCTTTAAGTGATAAACTTGACGGCGAGAATGATAATATCCAAGGAAGATGATACTCATTCCACGGTATGGCAATACGTGCACGAGAGTTATGTTTATCTGACCTTTGACTTTGTGCTGACGGTATACCTGCTAGACTAAGCGGTTTATGGACACGTGCTAGGGCATGAACATATTTAGGGCGTGTGAGATGGATAGCGAAGAGGTACACATAATCTGTATTTATAAGGTATTAGTTTAGATCACAGTAATATTGGTATGAGTGGCATGATGCTTGAAGGTATCTCAGATGCAATATATATATTTGTTTTTAATTGCGAAATAAAAATTATCATTAATTTTTCTTTTCATATCTAAAATTATTATTATCCCATCCACCACCGAAAAAAAAAATAAAACAAATCCTATCGAAACGAATCGTGTTTCTGTAATTTTCCTTACTTCGAACTAGAAATAACGAGAATTTTAATTTTTTTTGTTTTCAATAAATTTTCAGAAACAAAAATTAACTTTATTTGAGATGCTGTTTGAAAATTTAAAAGATATTTGATTAAGAATGTTTTGGTGAGATTTAATATTAAACTTCAAACATTTGATTTAAGTCAACTATTAATTTTCCATTTCCAGTCCTTTCCAGTTTATGTTCAAATCCTCTTAAGTTAAGCTAAATCAGTGAGTGGTGATATTTATAACATTGCCTGAAGCAGGAAATTGGGTGCTCTTTCCAGTGCTTTATTCGAAATTCCTCTAAAGAAAATAATTCAGTTTTAATATTTTTAAGGTGAAAATTTATATTATCGAGATAGCACAAAATAAATTAGGGGTTGAAATATTTATGGAACTTTTTTAAAAAGTTTCATTTTCCATAGTTTCGATGGAACCTATTTAGAAATAATATTTTATGTTACCAGTTTCTGTAAATCTTTTTAGAAAAAAACTTTTTCAAAATAAAGGTTCTGTGGACTCTATTACAGAAAAGTTAGTAAAAGATTTTTTTTTTATTTGTTTATTTAGACATATAATATTCTGTTACGGGGACAATTATTATATTGATAAATGAACACATTCACACCGTATAAACAAAAAAAAATTAACAAAAGTAAAATAATAACTAAATAATAATAAATAAAAACTATATACAATAAAAAAATAAAATAACCTAAATATAAGTAAATTAAAAACATAAAAATACAGTCATACCTAAGTAAAAATTAAAAAAAAGAAAGTTCCTGTTAATGAAAAATATATAGTAATTGGGCTTAGATTAGAGTCATCATTTATTTTTAATGAATTGCACATAATTCTAACATGTAGTTTGTTTGAGTAGCTGTGTATAAAAATAATTTTTTATATTAAGATTTTGGCGAAATCGATTCTTAAATAAAAGTTTTCTAAAAATAAATGTCCCGTAAACCTTAACTTGAGAAGATGCTAGGACAAAAGTTCTGATTCCAAAAGAATTAAAAACAATCAACAATAAAAATTCCGGTTTTGCCGAAACTTTTTAAAAATAAAAGTTTTTTTTTCCTTTTCAAGCTCTGAAATAAATACTTCTGAATGCGAGAAATAGCCCCTCTCCCTCCCCCCCCCCTCAAGAAGATCTTTATAGGTATACATATTTATTAATAAACTTATATAAATACAAAGATAGCTAATCTTTGTTAAAGGACATTTACTTCATCAAATTAAAAGGAAAAACAGAGATAAAGTGACTGAATAAAAGTAACCAGAGGGCATCGTTTGAAAAGGGGATGCTGAAAAAAAGGGAATTAAACTTCAAGCTTGTCAGGGAACACCAATAAAACAAAAGGGAACGTTTAGGCCTTGAGCAATTTGAAATGGGCGTCTAAACTGGTATGCAGATAAAAGATAAAATGAATTGGAAAATAAATGGGCCGCTTATTTATCGATCACCAGAACGTTTGAAATCGTATGTAATAATAACATTTTTAAAAGGCTACCTCAAGATGTATTGGGACGAATCTATAATAACGGACCATACAGTGCTTCACAACAGACCCGATATCCTTATTATAGATTTAGGAACAAAGAAGGCAAAGCTTATAGTTATCGCGATTCCAAATGATAACAATATAAGCACAACCGTGGGAGAGAAGCTCCATAAGTACCAAGGATTCGCGATCGAATTAAAGGAATTGTACCATTTAGAAAGCGTATTGAGTACACCAACAATAATATCGACAACGGCTGGGAATTATCCCTGAATGTGTTAAGAGAGGCTCAGCAAGCAGTTCTCTTGGATACAGCCAGAATTACTAGAAAGTTCTTAAACATCTAAAAAAAAATATAACTGCAGATGGTTGGTCTTGTCCCTCCACCTTCAGCTATGAATTCGCAAAAGCGATAATAATAAAATAACAGTCTAACATAAACATAGAGATATTACACAGAATATTGATAAGTATAATGCAAAGTCTTCCTACCGGAAGCGTTATGTGTCGTTTAGCGAGACCTGTGACCCTTTTTATCCCGGAAATGGGAGTTTTATCATGACCGCAGTGCATCATAGGAAATAACATTCTCAGATCGGAGATGGTCCGGAACAGCTCGAGGACCTAAGGGGATGGGATGGCAAATGCATTCAAAAGATGGTTCTTTCTTTTTACTGGTAAGTGCTTAGTGTATCGGAGAAATGGTTTACTTTTGGCGAATGTTTGAAATTAGGCAAGTAATAGTTAAATAATCGTTTTCTTATTTGTTTTTATTTTATTGGGTATTACTACAGTCTGACACACTGAAGGGCATTGGTACTAGGGCTATAGTATTCATTCACACAATATGTACATAAACAAAAATAACCAAATAAGAAGAAAAAGAAAAAAGAGAAAAAAAATATATATATGAATAACAAGATAAAGTAATATACAAGATAAGAAAATAAATAATGTTTAAAATCAAAGATCGCAGTTTCGTGAATTTGATCTGCTAGATTCCCAGTTGAAGAAATTTAGTCGAAAAATGAAGATTTAATTTTTTTTATTTTGATATTGACAAGATATATTATATATTTAAAATTTCAGTTTAAAGTCCTTACGATACATATCTATTCTACTGCCTACTATCGCAGGATTTAGTCTCTAAGAAGTGAATCTGTACTAATAGATAAAAACTACTTCTTTGTAGTTAGTAACAATGTTAATTCTATCATTAAAATGTTAAAAGTAAAAACCATAAATCGACCGATTCTCAAGTTTTGTTACTAAACAAAAGTTATGTGAAGAAAGCTTTTAAACAATACTTGTTTTAACTCACTGGAGAGGTTTAACTGTGAAAAATCTCCCAGCTCTAAGAACTTCGCTGTAAAACGGAAAATTTTCAAGATGTTTCCAGGAACTACATTTTCCCTCTCTTCTCATTTGTCCTAACTGTTAACCTTTAACATTCCAGCCTGACTTTTATTATGACTTATCTCTATTTTAAACGGTCAAAAGACAAAAATAAAAAATCGGTGCTCAATATTATGTAGCAAGTGACTGCAACTGGAAATATAGCATTAAAAAAATCAGTATGTGTACTTTTGATTTAGGTAAAATTTATTAATGCAAAACTAGTCTAGAGCACCAAAACAACTTTAATCTTATTAAGAACCAAAAATAGTTTCATTAATCACACAATATTCTGATTTCACAAAATTCATTAAATTACTTACGAGCTTTAACTTTTACAAAATAATACCCATGACTTTTCACAATAAATATACGATTTGACCTCGAAGCAGTAAATAATTAATCCAACGGTTAATCATAAATTGCTAACAAGTTGAGAGTTAAACTAGTTTTTATATATTTATATTTTATATCGCTGTCTTAAAGAAATTTATTTAGAAACAAATATTAAGGTATTAGAGTATTATTTTTGATCACGATAAGTTTCTTAAATGAAATGTAAGAAATAAATGAGTAATACATGACTTCAATGAAAGTCTTGGGCCAACAAAGGAAAAAAAAAGAAATAAATATATGAGGTGAAAGTTATCATGTATTTAAGCATTATTTAATTTTATTATAATTCGTATTGCTATATATTAACAAAATAAATTATTAATATTTTTTTAGAAATTCAATTAAGGACGATGAAAACTATTTTATATATATTTTTTATGTAAAATTAACAAAAAATATTAATTTCTTATATATTTGTCACCATACATCTGCCATCCACTCAATTGATCAATGAAGCAAAGCTTATGTCTAAGACTTAAATATTATTTTTTCAGAAACAATTTATCTTTTACATCGATAACGATAACTTTGAAATTCATGTTTTATTCTGGTGGTTATTATACGTGAAATTAATTTGATCGTATTATATTTCACGATAGTAATTGCAATGATTTAAATTAACGTAATATATTGAATATATATACATAATGATTAATTTTGAAATTGAAACTCCTCTCTTTATCGGTTCTAGTTACACGACAGATTTACACAGCTGATTTTTTTTTTTTTTATTGTTTTTGTTTCTATCGTTACTTTATTATATTATTATGTTTACCGAAGTACTTGTGTATGACTAGTATGTCGAGTCAGAAATAATGCATGAGGGCAAATAAATAAATTTTCTGCTCATATATTATTGTACTTTTCAGATGTACACCATAACAAAAATGGGATTAATCTACAAACTTATTTTTTATGTTAGAAAAGTTGAGAAATATAGAAAAACCTAAAACCACAGTGTTCCAATGAACTTAGATATTCACATTACCATTACATTTTATGGGTTATTAAATTGATAATGAAATTAAAATGGATGTCCAAAAGTGGAGAATAGCAGAAAAAAATCTATTCTAGGAACTTCTCTGTTTTTAATAATTAATTAAAATAAAGCTCTGTGGATGAATTGAAGCCAAGCATAGATAAGGGCAAATATAGCTGAGAGCAATGGTTAAGGGACTCCTTTGACCAACCCAATTAGGATTTATAAAATATTCAGATCTAAAGAGGATTCTTAAGATTGGCTGGATGAAAAGGCACGCCGTATCTGTCGGAGGGAAAACGTTTGCATTCAAAACGATCGTTTATCATATGTTTATTAACGAGTTTGATAAAATATTGACGTGTGTAAAACCTAGTTTTTTATTTTATTTTTTTATTTGTAGTATTTGGTATTGCCATATAGAGAGGTCATTACTGCTACTGTTAGTGCAAAAGGTCGTTGTAAAAATGTTTTACAGACGATAATAAAAAAATATTATTTCTTTATGATTTATTAGTATAACTTCATATTATATTTCCCGTTGCTATTTTCTTATTTAGCAGACTACTTATAGCACTTGAAAACTACAAAAGATCACCTTTACCGCAAAGAGAATAAACATGTAATATTGTTAGTTAAGACATTTTGCACTAACAGTAGTTTTATGTTATTTTTAGAAATTTTTATGTTTTATATTTTTGAGGTCCTGCTTACCTGAGCTATTTTTACACCGTATTGAGCAAACATGGCATCGTAAAGAGACATAAGTCCGGACTGTCCAACTGCAGCAGCTGCTCTTGGTTCAAGCAAGGTACCGGTCTCCTGAAAATAAACAGTAAAACGTAAATGTATTTATATTTAGAATAATTAGAATAATTAATTATACTGATTTTATATTAGAATTTATGGAATAAAAAAAATATCCCTTGCTCAGGTATTGTTATGTTGTTATATCCTAAAAAGGGTCCTCCGGGACGGATTGGATATTTAAAGCAAAGATGCAACTACCTTACGATAGACAAATATGTTTGTTCAAGAGAAAAGTTCTTCAGGCACATTTTCCACTTTTTTGGGGCGAGCGAATTAGATTGAGCTTTCAGATTTCCGATGTGTAACGCTCAGGTATAGTCGGTTGTAAAGTCGACTAATTGAAGTATTTTTGCATATGGATTAAAATATCTCAAAAACTAAAAATCAGACCTGCATATTAAGTGAAATGTTAATAATTTTGTCCTCTCTGTAATGAGCTATTATTTAAAATTGCATCCTATCGCTCCGCCGTGTTGGAGTGGCGAAAAGGAAAAAAAATGTATAAAACCAAATGATAACGAGTTTTATTGAAGGTATGGATTAAAATATCTTAGGAACTAAAAACCGGACCTATATACTATAAGCGAGGAAAATATTCATTTCATCCTCTTTATAATGAGCTGTTATTTATAACACATATTTCATATTATTAATCTTGCCTTGTTTATGTTTTCACTTTTATCGTGTAGTCTAAAGCACACAACTGAGTTTTTTTAAAATTATAAATTCGTGACAATGATAATGTCAGATACTCATGTTTCAAGCTATTTAGCGGAAAATTAGAAAATCCGGTTTGGAATTCGAACACAAATTGAAGCATTATAAACGAAAATACGACAAACAGATTCGATTATTGACGTAGGACAAAATTTACTGTGGCTTAATCCGTAACAATCCGATTTGCCGGTACAAACCCAGATTCGACTTTTCATTTGTTTTGCTGATTACAACTCCCTGATTCAACGTATATGTATTCAAAGGACAATCCCATGTTTGCTGAAGGGTTAGACGTCGGCCCTTTTTCAATATATTAGTCGCTCCGTTTTTTATCGCTTTCGATTTTCAGTTAATCATAGTCAACCATCTATAATTAGCATTGATTTTTAAAAACAATCATTTTTGAGTACAGCGAGTTTTTTCTATTTAAATGTAATGACGATTTATTCTAATACGTTTTTTATAAAATATATTTCTGTTAATCAACTATTTTAGTTTCTAATGATGTAAAGATGGTTGGCCGTGATATAATATGAGAAGGAGTTGGTTGGAGTGTGCGGTCAAATAAATACTAAATTTTAAAAAATGGTATTTTTAATTATTAGGCCGACGTTTCGACCCATCTTGCAGGTCATCAGAGCAACAAACGATACAAAATATAAAAGTACATGGTGAAAATAAAATAAATTAATTATAAGTAGATATTTTCACCATGTACCTCTTATATTTTGTAGCCCTGATGAAGTCCTGCAAGGTAGGTCGAAACGTCGACATAATAATTAAAAATACTATTTTTTAAAGTTTAGTATTTATTTTACCGCAACCACCGACCAACTTTTCATATTTTAATTTCTAAAATATCGATTAGTTTTGTTGAAAAAGTTCTTCAATGATTATAAGAATCAACAATAAATGATTTTAAATTGTAATAATTATTTATTTTATAATAATCCGTATCTACCAAAACCGTTCACTCACAGAAATTTCAAAAATTCAATTTAAGACAGTTTTGGTGGAAATTTTTTTAAACACTGTAGATAAATTAACAGGCGTTAATCTATACCTATATCTTCATAAGATTTTATTAATCTTTTTCAAATGTCTTTTGTGACCCTGTAGTCCTAATTAAATAGTTAAAAAAGAAGTAAACAGTTTACTAATTGACGGGATGATCATCTCATGAAAAATAAAAATGTATAAAAGAGGTTATCGAGAATAAATTAAAAAAAAGTCATTTAATAAATAATTACAGCTCACAAGGAAAACCCATTAATTTTAATTTCCTGGAAAACAAATTAAAACTAAAATTAATAATAAGGAAAAATATACGGGAAAATTGGTGAAAAATGTTATAAGTATGATGATGAAATCGGATTTTAATGGACCATACATCACACATTTATATGGAGATGTTCGATTTGTAAAAATAAAAAAAAAATATACAATTTATGATTTGAAAAATTTCATATTATATATATATATATAAAGCTTTTTACTTACAGATCTGGTATGGTCCTTTGGTGATAGTGTTTCCCTCATGGAGAGAGACATGAGAAGTTCTTGAGCCAGCTTTTGCTTACCGAAAGCGACCGCTCCACTGGTTACCATGATACATTCCCGACCTCCAACGTGGCACTCTGCGACCTAAAGAAGAAATATAAAGACTATTATAAGTTTTGGCATACGTGTAATTTGTAAGTAAATAAAATATAAAATGAGGCTCCTAGAAGCAAAACGGTATGACAAAAACTATGTTTTGAGCAAATGATGGATAAAGTTTTTTACTATTTTTTTTATCCAGGATATTTACAACTATATTAATATAAAATTACATCTAGTAAATCTGAACAAATGCGTATAATGATATGAAAAGACTTGTGGAGAAACTATCCACTGGTAGTACTCTAATAATATATTTTCATTAGGAGATCACGTGTCAATCTTCTTTTCAGACGTCTCGGAGGGTTATCAGGAATCGAAGCGGAAGCAAGGTTAGATAGTAAAGGGCTCGGATGGTTTTGAAGTTTATAATGGAAGAATGCGTATCTGGATTGGTCCAAATTGGATACATAAGGAATGATAAGATCTTTATGAATGATTTGTTTAGCGACAAAGATAATTGAGGATTTTTTATTTCAGGATTATGGATTGTCAGGATTAGTTACGAAATTTGATGGTTTACTTGAACCCCAAATCTAAACTTCGTAAGTACAAACAGGTATTATTATGATCATGTATATTACACTTTTGTAGTTAATTGGAAGCTTTGAGCGTTTGTGCTGTAAGTGCTGAAGTAGTCGGGAACGTCGAGTGGTTTCTTGTCGCTTCAGTATAGAATGAGGATTCAAAGTTAGACGCTTATCCAGGAGTCCTGTGAGGTATTATTAAAGGACAGGAAGTCATAGGCTTATGAAGATGGTTACAGTTAAAACTCTTCTTTCGGTATTTCTAAAATCACTCCCACAGTTGAAACAGAATTTTTACATATTTGAAACTGTTTTAAATTACTTATATTATGATGAATAGAATTTAGACATTTCGATTTTTGGATTTATTTCATATTGAGGGTCGAAATATGAATTTATCGAATAAGCTTCTTGTGAAAATATAGATTTTTAGACATCGCTATATTGGTTATCGATTTATTTGTAGCTAGCCGGATTCCTTCTGCATTAGAGCCCATTAATGATAAGCCGGTTTTTATGAAAATAGTGACGGTTTTGATATTAAACTTCCAGACACGATTTTTATATTGTCATTATTTTTAAGACCTACGTTTTCGCTAACCCAATATTGAGCCCTAGTTTCGTAGAACTGCAATGAGTTAAAATAAATCGAAACGTAATCATGCTATCAAAATCCATAATATTTTTTTTAAATCAGGCATAATTTTATTACCATGTTGACAAATGAATTATAATTATGTTTAATTACTCGATACCCTTTAGTTGTATTAAATAAACATTTTTTATAATAATTAGTAAAGTAAATATAATTAGTTTATTTTTCAAACAAATAAATACAAGAAATAATTAGTCAAAAGTTATGTTGATCAGTTAATATTTTGAGATTTCAGCCTCGTAAAATTCAGTGAGAGGAGCATGCTCGAGAGGATCTGCCTGAAGGATTTACCTGAGGTAATGGAGTTCGAAAAAGAGATTACAATATCAATCTGATCTTTAATATTGGTTTGAAAGAAGCTTTAAGAGGTTCAATGACCGAGACCAGCGGAACGATCTTTAATAGAATGGTTAAAATTCTGAGTTATACTGATGATCATGGCAGTTTGTAAGAGAATGTTGCTAGGACCTTAAAATAACGACTTAATGTTAAAATAAATGTATAAATGATAATCTATTTAGAGGTCTGTATTTTGTTCAGGTTTGTTCTTATCCATTTAAAGTATTTGATAATTTTTTGTAGCTGGGGTGACATAACCTCCAGAAGTTATGAGATGAGTTCGTCTAAGTTGTCTAAGTTGTAAGAGGAGTACGTGAATAGCTTTAGCCTATAACTGCTTTATTGGTTTGCCTAGCTTAATATAAAAATCTGCCAAAACAAGATAGTATCAGAGGTTTATGGGGCTAAAAATTACTGTCAGAAATATTGGTTTTTCGAAGTCTGGTAAAAGAAATGATTTATCATTTTATAAGAGTACCTATAGGTATTATCAAGATAACGGGAAGTGGTGCAACATTAGTGTTGCCCAAATGCTATACCAAGACGAATCTTGGTCTTGATCTTGTGCAAGAGTCTCGCAAGTCTTGCAGTTATTTGTTAACTTATTACCATAGAGGTATTACTGTATTTTTCAGATAGGAGAAAACTAGCTAAGCCCGAATGAAAAATTGAAGTAGTTAAATGCAAAGGTATATTGATTATGCCAATTCTTTACATATAGTAACTAAAATTGTCAAGATTAGTGACTAGTTTACCTTGATATTTATTCACAAAAAAGATTTTTTTTTTACAAATCTTGGTATTGGTCTCACAACAGTTTGGCGGTCTTTGTACTGGTCTTGCAAAGTGCAATTTTGTCCAAAATGCGATTTTCGGCAACACTATGCAACATAGAAAATTGTAAAATTACCAATCTAGGTCGCTTAAGCTGAGCAGTTCATCCGGATGAGATAAAAACAAAAGTTTGATATAAAGCTGTATGGAATCTGGCCAAAAGGACCTGTGGGCGATAGTAGCGCATCGCTGATAAAACTGGTCGAAGCTGCTTAATAAGACCACGAACCAGTTATTGGCTGCCAAGCCGATCGGGTATTTAGAGGTTGTAAAGGTATTTTAAGTCACAGAGTTTAGATGGCCCATTGTCCAATGAAGACTGCATTTGTAAATTGGAAGAATGACTTTTTACTAAGTAAGTCATTATATACCCGATGGAGCTTTGAGTTAGAAGGAATTGTTTTTATGATTTATGATACCAAGTTCTTTTTCTGTGTGCTTTCCTTGTTCATAATATTAAATAAGGGAATTGAAATTTCGACATCATACCTTTATTTTAAAAAGACCAAAATTTGTGATACATTGTTCGACGGATACTGTCCCAGGATCTTAAGAAGTTCTAGAATTGTGTTAAAAATGACTGTTGTAAATAAAACAAAGCCATGTGAAGAAAAGTCATAATGGAAAAGAAGAGGAGGAGCGAGAATGTTTCGACTTCAAGTTAGAACAATAGCCTAGAATCTCCAGGGAGGCCGAGAACATAGTAGCTATCTCTTGTAGGCTGGAGATAAAGATGGATCAGGGGATTTATTTGTTCCAGGAGCAAGTTTTCTGCAGCCGTCAGCTATCGGCAACGGGATTACTCTGTCTGGTCTTTCCCACAACTTGAGTAAATGTTTTCGCGCCTGGGTTGTGGCGACATTAATTTCAATTCAAGGGAGAATTAGAACAAAATTTCCTTTAAGTATTTATTTTCAAAATGAAATACTAAAAAATTAATCAAGAGGGAGATGTTTGGTTGCGCGGGAAAGGGGTAGGGAAGATGCGGCCACAAAAAAATTACAATAAAGTGTGTAAATTACAAAATAAATAGTATAGTGGAATAAATATGATAAACTTAAATAGTATATATAAAAATAAATATGAAGTAACTAGTAAATAAAAAAGAGAACTCCACTTTCTGAATTTGTTTACAATATACAAGAAACAAAGAGCAAATTTAAAGAAATTAATAGAATAATTTTAGATTCGTATCTTGCGGTGAAAATTAATTTCTTTTAAACCAAATAATGACTTTTTTCAAGAATTAGTTTCTTAATTTATGTTAATATATTTTTTCTATAATGATCTCTAGAAAAAAACACATAAACAAATACAATCTCTCAAAAAAATGGTATCTCATTTTGACCAACGGAATTGTTTTAGAAATTATAAAATAAAGACGGCTCTATATAAATTATTTATCATCACCATCGGAACACTATTAATTATTATTATTATTAAAAGATAAATATTTAGTAAAATATTACAATAGTGTTGTCAAGTAATATGTTATTGTTGTTGTTGATTTTATCACAACTTTAAAACCAAAACAAAATAAAACACGGAGAAAAATAATTTATACTATAAATGATATTATTATTATATTTATAGATTTTTTTCCTGTGGATAACACCAAGGAAGGCTAGAAAATTTGTACGATTTCTTTTTACGAATAATGTATGAATATTGAAATGTATACGAAATGCAGTATTGAAAACTAACGAAATTTATCCGTTTACAAAATCGGTGTTTACTAAGATCAATTTTTGAAGGATTTAAGAAGAACGCGAAAATTTTGCTAGGTGATAAAAAAACCAAAATAAAAACCGAAATGCTGTTATTTCTTTGTTGTCAGTAGAGTCCTCTAAGGCTATTTTTAAAAATATCTTTTTAATCTTACATTTGTTAAAATAATAATATAATGTATTTTTCATATACTATTTATTTCTGTTTGCAATACCATTAATAGCAGTTTTGCCAAAATTTATGCAAGTCTTACGCCAGCTTGAAATTTGGTTTTTATTTTTTTATTTTAATAGGAGTTTGAAAGTATAAGTAAATAATAAAATAAAAGTAATAAAATAAATATGTAATTATCATACCTGTTCTACTATGGAAGCCAGCCTTCCGAGGGCCAAACCATGTTCGTCCTCTCTGGTTATGACAGCACTTCCCAACTTGACCACCAATCGCCTCGCGTACTTAAACTGATTTCTATCTGTAAAGGTTGCCCTTCTTCTGTCGGAAGAGGCGCGTCTGTTGTCGATCTGTCCATCCTGCAACAAAGAGATGATGATTTTTCAGCGTAAAAAAAACAAAAAAACTACACAGACACTTTGAGACCTCATCGCTCTCGTTAACTTAGTTAATTGAAAAATCACTGAATATTAACTTAAAGTTACTAAAATAAGCATAAAGCTAGAAAAGAGACATAAGGTTATTATGATATAAATGGAAAAAAAAACCAAAACCATAAAGGGGAATATTTAACTTGCCAACTTTTCGCATTCCTTACTTCAGTAAAAAAAATTTTTTGGTGATGCTACATCTAGTTTTTTCCATTTCGTGTAGCATAAAGAGGCCTATATCCATTATTACTTTCGATGTGGATCGGCGAAGATCTAAAGTTATCAAAAGCTTTGTGGTTGTTGATAAAATTTACAAGGCAAAAACATCGTGCAGAAAATTTTAATTTTCAGACACAGATCGTATCCTCTCCTCGTAAGTTTTAATTTCTCTAATTTGAGTTCAATTTTTATTTTATTTTAAAATTAAAAAAGATTTCACAATAACTTGCACATACGAACTCACTGACTCAAGGCATAGCAACAATCATCATTCCCGTTGAAGACGGAATATTAAAATTAAGATTGAAAGCGATGCCGCTGGGCACTCCTTTTCCTCAGGCCTATCTATGTCCTTGTTCTATATTCAACTTCCCGACAGTATTACCCGCCGACTTATCAGTATTTCTGACATGTGTGAGTGGAGAAAAAAAAAAAAAAAGTTTTTAGATATTTTAATTATCAACTGCAATTGACAATTCAATTTCAAATCTATTAGAAGAGAGGAATGCATTAATTGGTTTTTAAATTGCTCTTCATAATAGCCCTTTAATAAAAAATTAAATGGGATTACTAACTTTATGTGTATAGCAATAAAACTGACTAATACCGTTTATTTAAAGGATTTAAAGAACTAGGATCACGAATAATAGCATAAAAGAATCACGAATAATCAAATAAATAACAAATAATCCATTATTTCCTCTAACTTTATAAAAAGTCAATTTCAAGCTCTTATTCCAGTAAAGTTAGAGGAACATCCCAACATTAAAAACATTAAAGATGAAACTTGTCAGAAATTGTTCATTGCCCTCTTCATAATAACTGGTAAAAAAATCACAAAGAATCCCGCGTCGTGTTTTGATGGGACGAGGGGAGAAAAGGACAGAAAACTTATATTTTAGAATATCTCAAAAATTATGATATGTATGGCAAAGATTGTTCTGTACAATATTAAAGTACTTTAAAATCACTATACAAATAAAGCTGTACTATAAAGCTATATTGATAAAATCAATGGATACAGAGATATTTATGAGATTAAATTTATCGTATTTCTACTTTAAGCAAAAATTGCGCCAAACCACGATTTATGTTGAATAAAAGGCAATAACTAAGAGAATGTTTAGTTTATGGTGCAACCAATTATTTCATAGTTCGTAATTTCTGACAAGTTTCATCTTAATTTTTTGAATATGTGGTCAATCCCTAATTTTACTGGACTAGATGTCAATATTGATAAAAATATGCTTCATGATTTTTTCACTCCATTCGATGATACACTAGCTACCAACTTATATTCTAATTCAATTTACAAAAATTTAATTTCTGCCGCACCCAAACTCCTTCATTGGCATGTCAACTCAAAAACTTCATAATATGATTTAACAACACAATGATTCTCGCTCTTAATCCAAACCAAAAAATAAACAAACATAAATTTAATTTCGTGAACCCCTTGGATCCAACATTGTGAAAGTTCTAAACAAATATAAAAATATTCAAAAGGGTATGGAATCTTGATAGTATCGTCAATTTCAAAACTACTCCAAGAAATTTGAATGAATATATTGAAATTATTGTGATGATTGTTGAATTAGGTGGCTATTTTTATGATTTTTAAAGCTATTTTATGATTTCTTTTTGTTATTTTTTATTTAATTTATACGAATAATATTAATATTTATAGCCTTATTTTAATAATTGCATTAATTTAGATAACCGTATTATATTATTTTAAAGTTGGTAATCCATCTTCTTTTCTTGCAGATTTAATCCTTGTACAATATATTAATACGGGACTAGATGACATCTATATTTAGATTTTGTATGTTTTTATCAATTATTATATTTTTGTTTTTCCTTGCTAAAATTAAATCATAATCAATTTCCATCTACGTACTGGTATCTGCCAGTGGGATATCTTAAATTAAACGATAGTGGAAAAAAAAATAGAATGATGCTTCAATTGGAATATATTTTCACTCGTTGTTCTCATAAGTAACTCCACTTGACTGATAGATTTTTCTTTGATCAAAATCATTAAATTTCAATGACATTGATTGAGGCCAAGGTTTCTTTCCCACTTAGAAAGCGATATAGATATTACACATGAAGGCTTGATTTTTTTATTTTTATTCACATACAAACAAAAGTCTGCCAAGTCATAATAGGTTCCTTACTAATTATAATTACATAATTATTCATATTGTTTATTATTATTTATTGGTTGAGAAAAAAAAACCTACAATAAAAGTGGTTTAAGAAGGAAAGTCTTGTGGAGAGGAAAATGCCCTTCTAAGGGTTTAGGATATACATGTCCGCATCGCGTCCAAGCCGCACCTCGACGTATGCAGATCGTATATCGGCTCGGTTTGATGAAATAATGAAACTATTGCGAATCCCCTTTGTGTTGGCCTAACTTAACCCAAGTGTATACTTAAATTTTGTTTAATTTTTCATTTTTATTCTGTAGGATTGTTCAAAGTATATCTAAAATTTTAAGTAATAGTGATTTGGTCATATATGACCCAAAACTTTCAAATTTCTTCAATTAACATTTCAATTTCCTTGCATGTTGCACGTATGGTGAGTCCATACTGTGCATCCTTAGTAATTTGATGTTAGAAAAATCCCTACATACTATAGGAGGAATATTCAAATTGATTCGAGTACTGAATGATCAACTTTTTGAAAACAGGCAAGCTTGGATAGACAAGATTCTAGTTTTAATTTTAAGAAAAATGTATTTACAAATTTATTGTGTAAACAATTTTTTCATAATTAATAAAATTTATCAATTCCTTATTCATTTCTTTACCGAGTAGTAATTAAAATTTTTAAAATGGTTTCATAAAAAAAAACTTTAGCTCTTGTTTTATATAAAATATTTTGAAAACATTAAGGTGTTATTGAAACTTCTTAAAAATACATCCAGTCTCAACAGAGAGTCAGAGGCACTTATAATCTCATTTTAGCCAAAAACGTTAATTAGCACAACTTTATCAAACCAAGATAACGAACTTATAGTCCAATGAAACTAAAGTATAAATTTAATCTCCATTCTTTAAAAAATTAAGTTTATTGTCAAATCCAACATGCGGTATTTTCGAATCCTAGACTACACTCACCAAACCCTCAACTTTTTTCCAACTTATTCGTTAACTTCCAATTCGTTAATTCGCATGTCTAAAAATAAACATTTTACTCATGCGTAAACTAAAATATTGAATTGATGAGATTAATATAGGAGCATTTACTATCTTGTACGATGCCAAAAAATTTTATGAAAATCAGATAATCGACAGTAGGTGATCTACTCATCACCTAATGTCGTTACTGTAGTTACTGTAGTTAGATACTTGTAGATAGGTCTTTTCATGTAGAGGAAAGTCAGAATAAAAAAGAAGGTAAAACTTCATTTAAAAATTTTTTTTATGATGTTTTCTCCACAAATCGAATCGGTTAAATTTATAAGTTGGATCAGTTTCCATTTTATGTTACATCTATGTGTAGTATCAAATAATACTGATGATTGTGAGGGAAAATTCTTGTATTTGACTACAGACAGACCAACAGACACGGAACCAAATTTGTATAATAGAGGCGAATAGAAATTTTCAGTTCTGGGTACCGATATTTTATTACCTCTCGAAAGAATACAACACCTCCCTTCTTTCTTTCTTTGTAAGAAAACAAAGTGATTAGAGTTTTCGCATTTTATCCGATAAAGGCACTTTTTTTTATTTATTGAAATTTACAATATCATTAAAATAAAAATAGATGTAGTTAATCTGAATACATGAATAAAACGACATGATAAGACTTGCTGAGAAATTACCCACTGGTAGCATTTAAATAATATATCTACATTAGGAGATCAGGAGGCCATATTATTTTCAAACTCTTTCTAGAGTTATTAGGAATCGAAGAGGAAGCAATGTTAGAAACGAGAGGGTTCCGATGGTTCTAAAGTTTATTATGGAAATATAGGTATCGGGATTGAGCTAAATCGGCAACGTATGGGACATTAAGGTCATTATCGATAATTTTATTTGTACATTTATAAAAAAAATAAAAAAATAAAATAGCTACCAAAAAGCATAATAAATCTCTCATTTGAAGATCAAGCCTTAAATTTTCCGTTTATTATTGTTACTATAATACCCGTTTGTTCACAACAACCTTTCCGTGGGAATTGGATCTGCTGTTATGGATTTTTAAGAGCGCCCCTTATAGGGAGTGAAGAGCTTTTCAAGATTGCCTTTGAAAGCGCATATTGAGAAATATTACCTTTCGGTAAGAGGTGAGAGCTTTGAGAAACTGCTTTATTGAAGTATGTAACGACATGGGAAAACTGAGAGGATTATCAGAGAGTCTTTATAAAGCGTTTTAGCTAAACATCATGATTCGGGTAAACCTAATTAACTCATGAGTCTTCCACGTGTGGAATCTATTAAACCGATTGATATAAAGAAAATAAGTAAATTATTACGACTCCATCAGGCTGCTTTGACAGTAACTGCCTTTTGGTAAATTTTCAAAATTTAAGTTTCAGTTCCATTTTAACTTTTTACAGATGATTTTAAATCTATTAACAAAATGCTTAAATATGATTTTACTATTATCATTATTCTTTTTTCATTATAACTTATTATTATTATTTTATATATTTATTAGTTCATTCTTCCTTTATTTTATTATTGTTGTTT